CCATCCGATGGTTCTCCATTAACAGGAGGTCTGCTTTAGCTGAAGCCATCTGATGGTTCTCCATCAACAGGAGGTCTCTGATAGTAATTGAGTGGAAGTGTTTTTTTTTTTTATTGGTATCAATTGTTTGTTTTTTTTCATCTTCTGGTTGGCATAAATTCTGTTAGAACCATTTTTCTTTTTCTTTTTTTGTGAAATAGTCTGGAAATAACAGTCAGTATTAATCCAAGCTGAAGGTCTGATCTAATCACAGAAAAACTCACATTTCTATGTCCTCACCTTCAGGAGGAGGTTGCTGATGTTTAGCTTTGGGCTCCATGACGTTCTAGATATCAACAGACAATTAGCCAGAAATCAGAGGTAGACGTTTATTTTTTATTTCTGGCCTCTCGGTGGTGATCCTCAGGTCAAACTGATTTTTTTTATCTGTCAAATGCACGACAACAGAGAAGCTCCACTAACTCAGCACAATACCAGGGGAATGGAAAATCTGTTTTTTTGTCTCATTGTGTCTACATTAATTGACAAAATTTCCCTTCAAACATGAGGAATGGTCCAGAAGAAGCTAATTTCACCGTCCAGGTGGAGAGATAGCATCCTGAAAAACTTAAAGCCATGATATGTGAGGGATCTGCTGTGGTGGTCTGCTATGATGGTCTGTTATGGTGGTCTGCTGTGGTGGTCTGCTAACAGGGTCATGCTATGGTGGTCTGCTATGGTGGTCTGCTAACAGGGTCTGCTATGGTGGTCTGCTAACAGGGTTCTGCTATGGTGGTCTGCTAACAGGGTCATGCTATGGTGGTCTGCTAACAGGGTCATGCTATGGTGGTCTGCTAACAGGGTCTGCTATGGTGGTCTGCTAACAGGGTCATGCTATGGTGGTCTGCTAACAGGTTCTGCTATGGTGGTCTGCTATCAGGGTCTGCTATGGTGGTCTGCTGTGGTGGTCTGCTAACGGTTCTGCTATGGTGGTCTGCTAACGGTTCTGCTATGGTGGTCTGCTAACAGGTTCTGCTATGGTGGTCTGCTATCAGGGTCTGCTATGGTGGTCTGCTGTGGTGGTCTGCTAACGGGGTCTGCTATCGTGGTCTGCTACCGGTCTGCTGTGGTGGTCTGCTATGATGGTCTGTTATGGTGGTCTGCTGTGGTGGTCTGCTAACAGGGTCTGCTATCAGGGTCTGCTGTGGTGGTCTGCTAACAGGGTCATGCTATGGTGGTCTGCTATGGTGGTCTGCTAACAGGGTCTGCTATGGTGGTCTGCTAACAGGGTCTGCTATGGTGGTCTGCTAACAGGGTTCTGCTATGGTGGTCTGCTAACAGGGTCATGCTATGGTGGTCTGCTAACAGGGTCATGCTATGGTGGTCTGCTAACAGGGTCTGCTATGGTGGTCTGCTAACAGGGTCATGCTATGGTGGTCTGCTAACAGGTTCTGCTATGGTGGTCTGCTATCAGGGTCTGCTATGGTGGTCTGCTGTGGTGGTCTGCTAACGGTTCTGCTATGGTGGTCTGCTAACGGTTCTGCTATGGTGGTCTGCTAACGGTTCTGCTATGGTGGTCTGCTAACAGGTTCTGCTATGGTGGTCTGCTATTAGGGTCTGCTATGGTGGTCTGCTGTGGTGGTCTGCTAACGGTTCTGCTATGGTGGTCTGCTGTGGTGGTCTGCTAACGGTTCTGCTATGGTGGTCTGCTAACAGGTTCTGCTATGGTGGTCTGCTATCAGGGTCTGCTATAGTGGTCTGCTGTGGTGGTCTGCTAACGGTTCTGCTATGGTGGTCTGCTATCAGGGTCTGCTATGGTGGTCTGCTGTGGTGGTCTGCTAACGGTTCTGCTATGGTGGTCTGCTAACAGGTTCTGCTATGGTGGTCTGCTATCAGGGTCTGCTATGGTGGTCTGCTGTGGTGGTCTGCTAACGGTTCTGCTATGGTGGTCTGCTAACAGGTTCTGCTATGGTGGTCTGCTATCAGGGTCTGCTATGGTGGTCTGCTATCAGGGTCTGCTATGGTGGTCTGCTGTGGTGGTCTGCTAACGATTCTGCTATGGTGGTCTGCTATGGTGGTCTGCTATGGTGGTCTGCTATGGTGGTCTGCTAACAGGGTCTGCTATGGTGGTCTGCTAACAGGGTCTGCTATGGTGGTCTGCTAACAGGGTCATGCTATGGTGGTCTGCTAACAGGGTCATGCTATGGTGGTCTGCTAACAGGGTCATGCTATGGTGGTCTGCTAACAGGGTCTGCTATGGTGGTCTGCTAACAGGGTCTGCTATGGTGGTCTGCTAACAGGGTCTGCTATGGTGGTCTGCTAACAGGGTCATGCTATGGTGGTCTGCTAACAGGTTCTGCTATGGTGGTCTGCTAACAGGGTCTGCTATGGTGGTCTGCTAACAGGGTCATGCTATGGTGGTCTGCTAACAGGGTCATGCTATGGTGGTCTGCTAACAGGGTCTGCTATGGTGGTCTGCTAACAGGGTCATGCTATGGTGGTCTGCTAACAGGGTCATGCTATGGTGGTCTGCTAACAGGGTCTGCTATGGTGGTCTGCTAACAGGGTCATGCTATGGTGGTCTGCTATCAGGGTCTGCTATGGTGGTCTGCTGTGGTGGTCTGCTAACGGTTCTGCTATGGTGGTCTGCTAACGGTTCTGCTATGGTGGTCTGCTAACAGGGTCTGCTATGGTGGTCTGCTAACAGGGTCTGCTATGGTGGTCTGCTATCAGGGTCTGCTATGGTGGTCTGCTATCAGGGTCTGCTATGGTGGTCTGCTAACAGGGTCTGCTATGGTGGTCTGCTGTGGTGGTCTGCTAACGGTTCTGCTATGGTGGTCTGCTAACAGGGTCTGCTATGGTGGTCTGCTAACAGGGTCTGCTATGGTGGTCTGCTAACAGGGTCTGCTATGGTGGTCTGCTAACAGGGTCTGCTATGGTGGTCTGCTAACAGGGTAATGCTATGGTGGTCTGCTAACAGGGTCATGCTATGGTGGTCTGCTAACAGGGTCTGCTATGGTGGTCTGCTAACAGGGTCATGCTATGGTGGTCTGCTAACAGGGTCATGCTATGGTGGTCTGCTAACAGGGTCATGCTATGGTGGTCTGCTAACAGGTTCTGCTATGGTGGTCTGCTAACAGGTGGTCAGGTTAGCAGACCACCATAACAGGGTCTGCTATGGTGGTCTGCTAACGGTTCTGCTATGGTGGTCTGCTATCAGGGTCTGCTATGGTGGTCTGCTGTGGTGGTCTGCTAACGGTTCTGCTATGGTGGTCTGCTATCAGGGTCTGCTATGGTGGTCTGCTATGGTGGTCTGCTAACAGGGTCTGCTATGGTGGTCTGCTGTGGTGGTCTGCTAACGGTTCTGCTATGGTGGTCTGCTAACAGGTTCTGCTATGGTGGTCTGCTAACGGTTCTGCTATGGTGGTCTGCTAACAGGGTCTGCTATGGTGGTCTGCTAACGGTTCTGCTATGGTGGTCTGCTAACGGTTCTGCTATGGTGGTCTGCTAACAGGGTCTGCTATGGTGGTCTGCTAACGGTTCTGCTATGGTGGTCTGCTAACAGGGTCTGCTATGGTGGTCTGCTAACAGGGTCTGCTATGGTGGTCTGCTAACGGTTCTGCTATGGTGGTCTGCTAACAGGGTCTGCTATGGTGGTCTGCTGTGGTGGTCTGCTAACGGTTCTGCTATGATGGTCTGCTAACGGTTCTGCTATGGTGGTCTGCTAACGGTTCTGCTATGGTGGTCTGCTATCAGGGTCTGCTATGGTGGTCTGCTGTGGTGGTCTGCTAACGGTTCTGCTATGGTGGTCTGCTAACAGGGTCTGCTATGGTGGTCTGCTGTGGTGGTCTGCTAACGGTTCTGCTATGGTGGTCTGCTATCAGGGTCTGCTATGGTGGTCTGCTATGGTGGTCTGCTGTGGTGGTCTGCTAACGGTTCTGCTATGGTGGTCTGCTATCAGGGTCTGCTATGGTGGTCTGCTATCAGGGTCTGCTATGGTGGTCTGCTGTGGTGGTCTGCTAACGATTCTACTATGGTGGTCTGCTATCAGGGTCTGCTATGGTGGTCTGCTATGGTGGTCTGCTATGGTGGTCTGCTATGGTGGTCTGCTATGGTGGTCTGCTATGGTGGTCTGCTATGGTGGTCTGCTATCAGGGTCTGCTATCAGAACTTCTCCATGAAGTAAATTCCTTTCTCTAAAGAGTTAAATTATTGAGCTTTATAGTTTATCCTCATTAACAAACATTCTTATATCGAACGTCTAAGTCGTATAAATCCGATCGATGGTTTATCTCCAGACTGACAGACTGAATCTCTTTTATTATATGAAATGGACCCAAATGGACTAAAATAATCGGCAGATGAAGTTACGATTTAGATGAGTTCTAAGTTTAAATTGCGTTTAATCTGATCACTAACTTGTAGGGAAGCAGGCGGGTTTCAGTCAAATGAAGGAAGCATAAAAACGTCTCCCTGCAGAAGCTGCGCTACCAGTTTAGCGGAGGAAGAATTTCCCTCAGGGAGGCGACCTCACAGCCGCGCCGCCATTATCCACATCAGCTGTCAGACTAAAATAACTGCTGTGGATTCTTCTTCTTCTTCGTTGGTATTTGGTAGCTTCTCTCTCTGGACTGGCATCAAAAACAGGAACCAAACATTAAAACGAACCGGTTAGCATGGTTAGCATGGTTAGCATGGTTAGAGGAAGCAGAGTCAGCTTCAATCAATGATCCGCAGCACATTTTAGGGATTAATTAGACTAAATAAATAATCAACATCAGAGTTAAAAACACTTTTATTGGTGGATCTCTAATGACTGACTGTGGGAACCTGGGGGCCTCCATTGGCTCCTCTTCCTGTAAACCAGCTGAATTCACTCTTTGATGTTTTTCGAAATATTTATATATCTGCATGTTTGCTGTTTTCACTGAATAAACTCCAGTTTCCCTGAAGCTCTCCTTGTTCTGTTGTAATTAGCAAAGTTTAGCCGCTGATGGTTTTCCTTCTCTGTGATTTTCCAGTGAGCGACATGGACAGCTCCGTCACCCTGTGGCAGTTCCTGCTTCAGCTCCTGTTGGATTCCAGCAACCAGCAGCTGATCTGCTGGACCAATGAGGAAGGGGAGTTCAAACTGCTGCAGGCGGAGGAGGTGGCCCGGCTCTGGGGGGCCCGCAAGAACAAGCCCAACATGAACTACGACAAGCTCAGCAGGGCGCTGAGATACTACTACGACAAGGTACTAGCTGTGATGCAGCAGGAAGCAGTCAGGGAAGCTGTGATGCAGCAGGAAGCAGTCGGTGAAGCTGTGATGCAGCAGGAAGCAGTCGGTGAAGCTGTGATGCAGGAGGAAGCAGTCGGTGAAGCTGTGATGCAGGAGGAAGCAGTCGGTGAAGCTGTGATGCAGGAGGAAGCAGTCAGGGAAGCTGTGATGCAGCAGGAAGCAGTCAGGGAAGCTGTGATGCAGGAGGAAGCAGTCAGTGAAGCTGTGATGCAGCAGGAAGCAGTCAGGGAAGCTGTGATGCAGCAGGAAGCAGTCAGGGAAGCTGTGATGCAGGAGGAAGCAGTCAGTGAAGCTGTGATGCAGCAGGAAGCAGTCAGGGAAGCTGTGATGCAGGAGGAAGCAGTCGGTGAAGCTGTGATGCAGCAGGAAGCGGTCAGGGAAGCTGTGATGCAGCAGGAAGCAGTCAGGGAAGCTGTGATGCAGCAGGAAGCAGTCAGGGAAGCTGTGATGCAGGAGGAAGCAGTCAGGGAAGCTGTGATGCAGCAGGAAGCAGTCAGGGAAGCTGTGATGCAGGAGGAAGCAGTCAGGGAAGCTGTGATGCAGCAGGCAGCAGTCAGTGAAGCTGTGATGCAGCAGGAAGCAGTCAGGGAAGCTGTGATGCAGGAGGAAGCAGTCAGTGATGCTGTGATGCAGGAGGAAGCAGTCAGTGAAGCTGTGATGCAGGAGGAAGCAGTCAGGGAAGCTGTGATGCAGGAGGAAGCAGTCAGGGAAGCTGTGATGCAGGAGGAAGCAGTCAGTGAAGCTGTGATGCAGGAGGAAGCAGTCAGGGAAGCTGTGATGCAGGAGGAAGCAGTCAGGGAAGCTGTGATACAGCAGGAAGCAGTCAGTGAAGCTGTGATGCAGCAGGAAGCAGTCAGGGAAGCTGTGATGCAGGAGGAAGCAGTCAGGGAAGCTGTGATGCAGGAGGAAGCAGTCAGGGAAGCTGTGATGCAGCAGGAAGCAGTCAGGGAAGCTGTGATGCAGGAGGAAGCAGTCAGTGAAGCTGTGATGCAGCAGGAAGCAGTCAGGGAAGCTGTGATGCAGGAGGAAGCAGTCAGGGAAGCTGTGATGCAGGAGGAAGCAGTCAGTGAAGCTGTGATGCAGCAGGAAGCAGTCAGGGAAGCTGTGATGCAGGAGGAAGCAGTCAGGGAAGCTGTGATGCAGGAGGAAGCAGTCAGGGAAGCTGTGATGCAGGAGGAAGCAGTCAGGGAAGCTGTGATGCAGGAGGAAGCAGTCAGGGAAGCTGTGATGCAGCAGGAAGCAGTCAGGGAAGCTGTGATGCAGCAGGAAGCAGTCAGGGAAGCTGTGATGCAGCAGGAAGCAGTCAGGGAAGCTGTGATGCAGGAGGAAGCAGTCAGTGAAGCTGTGATGCAGGAGGAAGCAGTCAGTGAAGCTGTGATGCAGGAGGAAGCAGTCAGGGAAGCTGTGATGCAGGAGGAAGCAGTCAGGGAAGCTGTGATGCAGGAGGAAGCAGTCAGTGAAGCTGTGATGCAGCAGGTAGCAGTCAGGGAAGCTGTGATGCAGGAGGAAGCAGTCAGTGAAGCTGTGATGCAGGAGGAAGCAGTCAGGGAAGCTGTGATGCAGGAGGAAGCAGTCAGGGAAGCTGTGATGCAGGAGGAAGCAGTCAGTGAAGCTGTGATGCAGCAGGAAGCAGTCAGGGAAGCTGTGATGCAGCAGGAAGCAGTCAGGGAAGCTGTGATGCAGCAGGAAGCAGTCAGGGAAGCTGTGATGCAGCAGGAAGCAGTCAGGGAAGCTGTGATGCAGGAGGAAGCAGTCAGTGAAGCTGTGATGCAGGAGGAAGCAGTCAGGGAAGCTGTGATGCAGGAGGAAGCAGTCAGGGAAGCTGTGATGCAGGAGGAAGCAGTCAGGGAAGCTGTGATGCAGGAGGAAGCAGTCAGTGAAGCTGTGATGCAGCAGGTAGCAGTCAGGGAAGCTGTGATGCAGGAGGAAGCAGTCAGTGAAGCTGTGATGCAGGAGGAAGCAGTCAGGGAAGCTGTGATGCAGGAGGAAGCAGTCAGGGAAGCTGTGATGCAGGAGGAAGCAGTCAGTGAAGCTGTGATGCAGCAGGAAGCAGTCAGGGAAGCTGTGATGCAGGAGGAAGCAGTCAGGGAAGCTGTGATGCAGCAGGAAGCAGTCAGGGAAGCTGTGATGCAGCAGGAAGCAGTCAGGGAAGCTGTGATGCAGCAGGAAGCAGTCAGGGAAGCTGTGATGCAGGAGGAAGCAGTCAGTGAAGCTGTGATGAAGGAGGAAGCAGTCAGTGAAGCTGTGATGCAGGAGGAAGCAGTCAGTGAAGCTGTGATGCAGGAGGAAGCAGTCAGGGAAGCTGTGATGCAGGAGGAAGCAGTCAGGGAAGCTGTGATGCAGGAGGAAGCAGTCAGTGAAGCTGTGATGCAGCAGGAAGCAGTCAGGGAAGCTGTGATGCAGGAGGAAGCAGTCAGTGAAGCTGTGATGCAGGAGGAAGCAGTCAGGGAAGCTGTGATGCAGCAGGAAGCAGTCAGGGAAGCTGTGATGCAGGAGGAAGCAGTCAGGGAAGCTGTGATGCAGGAGGAAGCAGTCAGGGAAGCTGTGATGCAGGAGGAAGCAGTCAGGGAAGCTGTGATGCAGGAGGAAGCAGTCAGGGAAGCTGTGATGCAGCAGGTAGCAGTCAGGGAAGCTGTGATGCAGGAGGAAGCAGTCAGGGAAGCTGTGATGCAGGAGGAAGCAGTCAGGGAAGCTGTGATGCAGGAGGAAGCAGTCAGGGAAGCTGTGATGCAGCAGGTAGCAGTCAGGGAAGCTGTGATGCAGGAGGAAGCAGTCAGGGAAGCTGTGATGCAGGAGGAAGCAGTCAGGGAAGCTGTGATGCAGCAGGAAGCAGTCAGGGAAGCTGTGATGCAGGAGGAAGCAGTCAGGGAAGCTGTGATGCAGGAGGAAGCAGTCAGGGAAGCTGTGATGCAGGAGGAAGCAGTCAGGGAAGCTGTGATGCAGGAGGAAGCAGTCAGGGAAGCTGTGATGCAGCAGGAAGCAGTCAGGGAAGCCGTGATGCAGCAGGAAGCAGTCAGGGAAGCTGTGATGCAGGAGGAAGCAGTCAGTGAAGCTGTGATGCAGGAGGAAGCAGTCAGGGAAGCTGTGATGCAGGAGGAAGCAGTCAGGGAAGCTGTGATGCAGGAGGAAGCAGTCAGGGAAGCTGTGATGCAGGAGGAAGCAGTCAGTGAAGCTGTGATGCAGCAGGAAGCAGTCAGGGAAGCTGTGATGCAGGAGGAAGCAGTCAGGGAAGCTGTGATGCAGCAGGAAGCAGTCAGGGAAGCCGTGATGCAGCAGGAAGCAGTCAGGGAAGCTGTGATGCAGGAGGAAGCAGTCAGTGAAGCTGTGATGCAGGAGGAAGCAGTCAGGGAAGCTGTGATGCAGGAGGAAGCAGTCAGTGAAGCTGTGATGCAGGAGGAAGCAGTCAGGGAAGCTGTGATGCAGGAGGAAGCAGTCAGGGAAGCTGTGATGCAGGAGGAAGCAGTCAGTGAAGCTGTGATGCAGCAGGAAGCAGTCAGGGAAGCTGTGATGCAGGAGGAAGCAGTCAGGGAAGCTGTGATGCAGCAGGAAGCAGTCAGGGAAGCTGTGATGCAGCAGGAAGCAGTCAGGGAAGCTGTGATGCAGCAGGAAGCAGTCAGGGAAGCTGTGATGCAGGAGGAAGCAGTCAGTGAAGCTGTGATGCAGGAGGAAGCAGTCAGTGAAGCTGTGATGCAGGAGGAAGCAGTCAGTGAAGCTGTGATGCAGGAGGAAGCAGTCAGGGAAGCTGTGATGCAGGAGGAAGCAGTCAGGGAAGCTGTGATGCAGGAGGAAGCAGTCAGTGAAGCTGTGATGCAGCAGGAAGCAGTCAGGGAAGCTGTGATGCAGGAGGAAGCAGTCAGTGAAGCTGTGATGCAGCAGGAAGCAGTCAGGGAAGCTGTGATGCAGGAGGAAGCAGTCAGGGAAGCTGTGATGCAGGAGGAAGCAGTCAGGGAAGCTGTGATGCACTTTTCAGTGTTCATTTCATTTCTCGGAGCCGTGCATTTATCTGGTCTCTTGTCACTAATGGACGAATCTGATTGGTTCTTTCTCTTTCCTGCTGCTAACAAGCGGCCAATCCGCTTTGGTTCCTTCGCTTTATTCTGCGCGTCGCTCCTTTGAAAGGAGGGGGACGTTGCTGCGAGCAGAGCGAGGAGAGGAGGGGTTCCCCACCCTACCTGAGGTTTGACCTCGTTGGGGCGGCGAGCGCTGCATCTCTGGGATGTTTGTGGTTTTCATTTTGGTGCAGACTGAGCTCTCTGTGCACGTAGACTTCCTGTAGACTGACTGTGTTTCCTCACTCTGTTCTGTTTTTGTAGAACATCATCAAGAAGGTGAACGGTCAGAAGTTTGTCTACCGCTTTGTGTCCTACCCCGACATCCTGAAAGGAGACGCCAGCGGCAGAACAAACGCCGGAGACGGACCTGCGGTCTTACCGCAGAGGGGGGACGGGTCTCTGCTGGAGGCGGAGCCTGCAGACAGGTCCAAGGTGGGGGCGTGTCCAGCCTCTCTGGGATCTAAGCCGTCCAATAGAAACGACTACATTCACTCCGGCCTTTACACGTCCTTTCATCTCAACTCGCTGCAAAACGGCCGTAAGCTCTTCACGTCCATCAAAATGGAAAAGCCTGCAGAGAAGGTTGGTGAGAAGAGGAACGCCACGGCCAGCGCACACGTCCAGGACACGCCCCCTCTGCTGCCAGCGCCCGCCGCCCCGCCATCAGTCATCAAGTTTGGAAACAGCCCCCCAAAGCCGGTGTCCATGACGGCGGCGCCTCAGGTGGCTGTAGAGGAGACGCTGCCGGCCATGCATGCGGCGCCTCAGAGGGCCGATAACCTGGGAACACACTCCTCCCTTCAGCCCGTCTACTCGTATGAACACACCCGCCCTTCAGACGCCCCCCTCAGCCTGCCAGAGCTGACCTCAGCCAGCCCGTCTCCACACCTCGCTGCAGACCCGTGTCAGGAGAGCGGCGTGCAGAGCGAGGTGGACTCCGGCTCCTCCGGGTCTACGGAGCTCCCAGCTCTGCACGCCGCAGAGACGCAGCAGCTGGAGCAGGTCAGTATAGAGAACGCTGAACATCAAAGCGCTGACAGCGGCGTTCTAACAGCTCGGTGTGTTTGCCTCCATCAGGCGGACGCCGCCGGCCTGTCGCTGGACGAAACCAGCACGGTGGACGCTGAAACCAGCTCGTCCTCGGGGAGCCAGGCTCCGGGGAAAACGCGCAAACCGCCAAAAGTCCTGCAGATCAGCCCGCCCGCTCTGCTCGTCACCGCGTCGGACTTCTCCCCCATGAACCTGTGCAGCCCGTCGCTCCCCACCGCCTCGCTCACGCCCGCCATGTTACAGGTGAGACATCAGAGCATAGCTATACCTATATACTGCTATCCCCGCCTTCTCAGCTAACCCTCAGCCAATCAAAGTTCAGCCATCATGGCTCCTCTATTAGAGAGCTGGGTTGGAGGCGGGCCTCCTCCTTAGCAAGGTTCCAAGATGGCTTCTAAAAGGAAAACATGTAAATGTCTCAGCATTAATGCTCTGAGGTTATGAAGCAAATAAAACAGTTTTTAATGGATTTCTTATAAAAGCAGTTTGCTGTTAATTTTTACCATCAAAATCTATTTTTTTTATTTCACTAAAGTAATAAGGCTGTTTCCTCTAGAACACTGTTGGTAGTAGTAGTAGTATTTCACTGAGGGCTCTATGAAGGGTGGAGCACAGTGAATCAGTCCTTGTTTCACCCCTAGATGCCCAGCAGAGGGCAGTGTTGCTGCAGCAATGCCTCTGATCCTGTCAGCGGATCACATGGCGCGGCGTCCTGTCAATCAGCTGGTTGTGCGGCTGGACGGGTCCCAGTTGGTCATGAGTTCCAGCTCATATGAAGAGGATCCACATTGAGCCGCCTCCATTATGAGCAGTAATGGAATTAAAACCAAACGGCTTCTCAAAGGATGAAAACCGAATGAAAGGACCAGTAGAGCTGCAGGTCACATGCCCTGCAGTCTGAAGGCCTCCAACTGCCTCCATGCCCAGAACTTCCTACAAAGGTCAGGAATCCTGGGTCGGTTTTAGAGCAACTTTAACGCGTTATATTTTAGAATGTTTACTATTTTTGGTAAAGGAAAAACTCATTTAGGTATTTTTAACAAAATAAAATCTAGGACAGGGGTGTCAAACTGGTTCCAGAAAGGGCTGCAGGTTTTCTTTCCAACCAAGCAATAAGACACCAGACTCCATTCATCTCATCAAGGGAGTCCAATCTGAACATGATGACATTATGAAATGACTGGAGTCTGGAGCTATTGCTGGGTTGGAAAGAAAACCTGCAGCCCTTTCTGGAACCAGTTTGACACCCCTGATCTAGGAGGACCCAGGTGTATATCTGGATGGCGCATGTGCAGAAGTACTAGCTGTAGCGCCTGGCTAGCTGTAGCGCCTGGCTAACTGTAGCATCTGGCTAACTGTAGCATCTGGCTAGCTGTAGCATCTGGCTAGCTGTAGCGGCTGGCTAGCTATAGCGGTGAGTCACCCGTCCTTCTAACAGGAATCCTGGGTATCCCATCTGGAGGGAGGGACCCTTCACCCTGATCTCTGCTCAGGGGAGCGCTGGCCTAGTGGTTGGAATCCACAGGTTCTGAGTTCCAGTCCCACTCCCACAGCCTGCCACTCTGGGTCCCTGAGCAAGACCCTTAACCCTACTGTCAATAATAAAAACCCAAGTTTTTCCAGGCAGAATTGGTGACACGTTGGTTGCTGATGTCACGTGAACTCACTGACACGGAGCGGGAAAATCCTGTTGTCATGGTAACATTTTCACCCTGATATTGATGACCAGGGATATATATAATATTCCAGTCTAGGATCAAAGATAATAGATAAATAAAAGCATCAAACATTTTTATTCCCATTTAAAACTCTCCTTTTCAATCATTATAGAGTCACTGAAGCTCGTCTGTAAATAAATGCAGAATAAAAGCGTTTTAAGTTACTTTAGTGTAATATTTAACGCCTATCCCTGCTTCTAATCTTCCCAGACTCCAACCCTCCTGCTGACTCCCAGTCCTCTGCTGTCCAACATCCACTTCTGGAGCACGCTGAGTCCCGTGGCCCCCCTCAGCCCCGCCACACGCCGCCAGGGAGCCCACCTGTTCCAGGTGGGGCCCCCGTCCTCCTCCTGTTATTGCCTTCAGAGCAACGCTCCACGCTAACGTCTCTTTTTTTCCCTCCCAGTTCCCGTCGGTGCTCACCCCCCAGTTCCAGATCCCAGTACAGAGCTTGGACGGCACCAGTACGCCGGGCCCCATCTCCCCCGACCCTCAGAAAACATAGGCCTCTATGCAGCACTCCCCCCGACCGGCCCAGCTCACACTACAGCTCTTCATCTTCACACACTCAGAGTCCGGCCTATTTTGGGATCCCGGCAGATCAAAGATGGAGAAATCACCATGGTAACGGTGGTCTGTTTCCACCTAGACACTCGGCTATCGGCGTCTTTCCTTCTGTAGACTGACGTCTAACTGGGATTTATCTTCCCAGTCTAAACTCAACCTTAGATTTATTGGAAGATTTTCCTTTTTTTAAACCTGGAAGCTCCTTTGATGTTTTAGATTCAGCCTAAACTTAATCTGAAGCTTTTATCATCAGACAGAAAAACAAAACAAGGTTTTCCTTAAAAAAAGGAAACTTTGATTTTATTCAGTCTGTTCAGTCAGGCAGTGGGTCCCAGTGAGTCCCAGTGGTTCCCAGTGAGTCTCAGTGGTTCCCAGTGAGTCTCAGTGGTTCCCACTGGTTGGGTATCAGTGGTTCCCACTGGTTCCCAGTGGGTCCCAGTGTTCCCTTTAGTCTTATCCCTGTACCAGTGCAGCTTCTCCCACTTCCCAGCATGCATTGCTCCGCGTCGGTCAGAATCCCTTCTGATAAACATGCTGTGGAGGTTTTCGTGTGACACCACGCCAAAGTCTAAGCGGCGTGAATACTTTAGCGTCTCTGCAGGCGTAATGAAAAACACGCAGAATCCCTGGAAGCCATTTTGATCTGTTGCCTTCATCTGGTAAAGAAGAAAAGCCATAAAATGTTGCAGACGTTCTCCTCAGGAGGAACTCCATAGGATAGGCTTTTATTTTGGCGGGTCAGCGGTGCTCCCACTCATCCTGTTGGCAGAGAGACACTGATGGGAGACGTCTTTAAACTAGAAGGTGTTTATAAACGGTGAAGAGTTGCCGGTTCAACATCTATCCGTCGGTTCCTGAAAATATTCCCAAAGCAGGAAATGATCGGAGCGGCGTCTCGGCTCAGCTCTTCTCTGGCGGCGCTCCTTTGACCTCCGCATCTCTGGTGGTTCTGGTTACACAGACCTATGAAGACTAGATTTACCCACAGTAGCTGCGGTTGCCTCTGAAACCCACCGACCAACCAAACATTATGACCCCCCGGGGCCAGAGCCGGACCACGATGAACTCCCAGCCATAACACCCTTCAGTGTGGAAGTTTTCTAGATCTGCTTTAAACTGTTCTGTCTGTGATGGACGTTAATGGCGCCCTCTCAGAAGGAACCAATCTGGTTCTAAACGCAGTGATGTGGCGATCACTGGGGGGTCATGATGTTTTGGTTCTGACCCTGACCTTTGCCCTCAGGGGTTTACACCCCGCCAGCTTAAAGCCATAAGTCTGAGACGGACTCCATGACGTCGTCTTTGCCATCCGACATCACGCTTGTTTACACGATAGCCGCCGCCGCTCGGAGGGAAATGGTGCCTTACCGCAGCCGGTTAGCATCGCTAAGTTCTCCCGGAATCTAATGGAGCCCTTTTTGTTTGTTTTTTTATTTCCGGTTGCCATGTTGGAACGGACCAAACCACAGAAGGGGCGTGGCTAAGACCTGCCGCGTTCAGACACCGCTTCACCCGCGCAGCATGTAAATTAGCCGTTCAACGCCAGCAGCCATGTTTGTTCTCCACCTGCCTCTAAACCTTTGCTCCCAAACTGTATAAAGATAGATATATATATATTAGAGAGAGAAAACCTGTTGGCATAGTCTCCTTTTATTTTCCTGTAATAAAACTTTGAGAATAATTTCTATTTTTGTAAATCCGTAATGTTTTTTTTTGTTTCCTTCTGTTTCACTTTGTGGATTTTTGGGAATCGATGTCGACTTTTTTATTTTAGGAATCAGAGCCTTATTGGGATAAAATCAGTCTGTTTTGTACGTTGACTGTTTTTTGATATTGTGTAGATATTGTTCATGCAGATGTTCTTGCACTTAAAGGTCGGGGTTCCTGTCTAATTGGATTCTCTCACTTTTCTAGGATGAAAGTTTGTTGACTAAAGAAATGTATTTTTCTCTTCATTATGCACTTGTTTTTATAAGAACAAAGGAGCTCAATCAGTTTATATGGAGAAAAAAAGACTAATTTTTAATCAGGCACAAGTATAAATATTTATAGAAATATATACGATGCATAAATGGAGCGTTTTTGCAGTAAGTTTATTAGTAGATCTATGAAAATGATCCCAAAGCCTTTTTCTGCACATCTAACCTGAATTCTTCTGTTTTTCCTTTAAATGTAAAAAGCTGTTTTAAAGCAAAGACGGTTTCTGCTGTTTGGTGGAGTTTCTCTGTTTGATGCTTAATCCAAATGTTTACAAGCTGCTTGTCTAAAGCGGCGTTTCGACGTGCGAGACGTCGAGGAACGACGTCCAGCAGGGAGGCGAAACGAGACCAATAATAAACCTCATGTCTTTATTCCGTATCCGAGGGGTTTTTATTTTAATGCTAAATACTCGTCCGGTCCCAGCTGTGCACTGCCGCACAGCTGGCTGAAACACAGCTGCACATTCCTGTTCCTCACATGATGAAAGATGATTAAACCAATCTAAACAGATTTAATGAATTGCTTTTATTAGTTAGTTATTTATTTTCCTAAATGCGGAAGAGGATTAGGGCCACTGAAAAAAAAAAAGGTTAACTGATTTTTTTAACTTTATTTCAGTTTAACATGGAAAAAAGTCAGAATTCTGACTTTTTTATTGTCAGAATTCAGTCTGAATTCTGACAATAAAATTTAAAAATCAGTTTACTTTTTTTTTATCAGTGGCCCTAATCCTCTTCCGTACCAAAGACTGTTAGCAAATTAAAACAAAGATTCTGTAGAGCTAGTGAACTAGAAGTGTCTGTAGTAAGGCCATAAAGGACACTTTATGGTCCTCTTATTGTCCTGCTTTTATTCTGACAGGTTGCTGCTTTATGAATCCATCACAGCTGCTCCTATGAAGCCACATGTCAGTCCAGGGGCCACAGAGGGCCCATAGGGGGCCACAGGGGGGTCCTTCGTCTGCTGCGATGTGTGAATCAAAGATCAGGAGCCTCCATCGGTTGGCTGCTCTTTCATGTCTATGGCGCCTGATGAATCTGCAAACATTTCAAATCAAAGAAAATAGTCCATTAAAATGAAGGTTCTGCAGAGGCGGATTTAGGAAATGTGGGGCCCTAGGCAGCTGCCTAGTATATCCCCCCCTGCTGGTGAGTACAGTACCTACCTGGTTGGTAGTTTCTGTGAAAATGATGGGTGTAGAGGAGCAGCAGGAACAGACAGAGGCTGATGATGGACGTTATGGTCGTAGACAACAGGAAGGAGTAGCTGCCTTCACTGTGGATCACCTGCAAGAAGCAGGACACACGTTTCTACCCACTGCAAAGTTGATTTATTTCCAAATAAAATCGAGTATTTGGACAATATAATTAAGTTTTTCAAAGCTTCTAATTAGAGGAGGATTTTTTATTTCCAGGTGGATCATCTCAATCAGTGGTCCTCCTAACTGTCAATCATTCTGGTGAATCTGTCTGCAGCAGCCGGGGCTAACGTTAGCATGCTGCGGCAGCCGGGGCTAACGTCAGCATGCTGCGGCAGCCGGGGCTAACGTTAGCATGCTGCGGCAGCCGGGGCTAACGTTAGCATGCTGTGGCAGCCGGGTCTAATGTTAGCCCGTCTGCGGCAGCCAGATCTAACGTTAGCATGCTGCGGCAGCCGGAGCTAACGTTAGCATGCTGCGGCAGCCGGAGCTAACGTTAGCATGCTGCGGCAGCCGGGGCTAGCGTTAGCCCGTCTGCGGCAGCCGGGTCTAACGTTAGCATGCTGCGGCAGCCGGAGCTAACGTTAGCATGCTGCGGCAGCCGGGGCTAACGTTAGCATGCTGCGGCAGCCGGGGCTAGCGTTAGCCCGTCTGTGGCAGCCGGGGCTAACGTTAGCATGCTGCGGCAGCCGGGGCTAACATTAGCATGCTGCGGCAGCCGGGGCTAACGTTAGCATGCTGCGGCAGCCGGGGCTAACATTAGCATGCTGCGGCAGCCGGGGCTAACATTAGCATGCTGCGGCAGCCGGGGCTAACATTAGCATGCTGCGGCAGCCGGGGCTAACGTTAGCATGCTGCGGCAGCCGGGGCTAACGTTAGCATGCTGCGGCAGCCGGGGCTAACATTAGCATGCTGCGGCAGCCGGGGCTAACGTGGGGACGAGGACGTAGGACGGGGCAAACATTATAAATGAACAAAATAAATGTAGACGCTAATCCAGACGCTAATCCAGACATTTTGAATTGAAGAAGCTTCCTGGATTAGAAGTGAAACGTCTTCAAACTTGGAAACAACGTCCAGTGGATTGTTTTTAACTCTTTAGAAATAGAATAACTGTTGTTTTATTTGTTTAAAATCTCTAAGAAAATCATTTTAGATGTTCCATTTGTCCTCATTTGCCCTCAGATCTTAAATCTGATCTAAAAGAATCTGTGAGACTTTTAAAAAGCAGAGCTCAGTCTGTAGACCGATTGTTTTCTACCTTCTGCTACTTTTGATCACAGATGAAACATAAAATAATAGTAAATGTCGGTAATAACATGTTAAGACTCCAGAAGATAAATGATTGTAAAGAAATGGGTGCAATACAGTTTGTCCGAGAGGTGCTGCCGTATGATGACATCATCAGCAGGGGCGGGGCCCCGAGCAGATAGCAGATAGACGTTCAGGCGACTCTTACCGATCCAACGAGCAGCTGGAGCAGCATCTCTCCTGTGCTGGCACTGGTCACTAGGACTGTGGTGGCTGCACCTTTGACACACCAATAAAAAGCACGTCGGCATGGCGACCAGCAATAACAGATGAGATACAACGTTAGCAGAGCAGCTGTGTCACCTTTATAATCCAACATGTCCTCTGTGAAAGCCAGGATGGAGGGGAAGACGCTGCTGATGCACAGTCCCAGCACGCAGGTACCGATGAACAGAAACACCCGGCTGGTGTAGAAGATCAGCAGCAGGCTCTGGACCACGATGACCCCCACCTGACCGACGGAGCAGACCACTGAGGGAACTTTCTGGACCACCAACAGGCAGTGATGCTGTGGTAAAATGTTCAGCTCCACAGCTCATATTAACATCATTGATTTCCCCCCACAGTGAGACACAGTGTTGGCAGCATCATGCTGTGGAAACACTTCTGACTCTGCAACCTTCAAATCTGTCTCTGTGCGGGACCAAAAGTCTAATCTGCCCTTAGCTGTGGTCTGAGGCGCAGATGGAAGGTAACTTTCCAGCATCATAGACCTGTGTCTGCTGCCAAAACGCCATAAGAATAAAATAATCCACTAATCCTTTCATTTCAGGATTAAAGCAGAATAAACATCTAAACACACAATCAGCTGCAGCTTTATATAAACAATACTATAATAAGAAATGAATGTAGTCTATAGGGGTCATAACAGGGGCCAGGTTCTTCAGGTGCGCTGGCCCCCATTGGGCCCCCCCCCTATTTATGCTGTTTGCTCTCCTGCCTTCAGCGCCAGATTATTCAGGCTCTCATTGCGATTAACTCTAGTGTTAACTGTAGCATTTTCTGTGCTGTTAAATTCTGATCGGCTTTTCGGCCGTGGATTTTTGGTTGGCTGGCGCCAGCTCCCCGATCTCTGTGCTCTGAAGCTGTAACAACTGCAAGCGGTGGACAGTCTCCCCCCGGGTTCCTCCTCTCTCAGTTTCAGACTGAACTCTCAACCAGGTCAGTGACTTTTTGTTGTCTTCTCTGCTCATCAGTCTTGGCCCTTGTTGGCCCTTGTTGGCCCCTGTATAGAGCCGCCCATATCCGACAGCTACAGCTTCCATGGTGAGATTCTGTGACAATAATCTTTCCCAACGTGGGGAGTCATGGCTGACTGGTGGTACGGAGGGAGTCACGGCTGATTGGTAGAACGGAGGGAGTCACGGCTGATTGGCGGTACGGAGGGAGTCACGGCTGATTGGTACGGAGGGAGTCACGGCTAGGGATGGGAATCGAAAACCGGTTCCTGTTCAGAACCGGTTCCGTATTTTTCGATTCCATGGCATCGTTTGGCAGCTCGCTGAATGATTCTTTTTTCGATTCCCGCAGCACCAGAGCCGAGAGCGCCGGCTCTGGGGAGCACGACTTACGTCACGTTTTTTACGTAAGTTACGCAACTTACGCAAGTTACGCAAGTTACGCAAGTTGGAAGAACTATTCGAGGAGGAAGACAACGTGCTGCGGTCACTTTGTGAATCAAAGCCCCGTCTTTCCTTAGCCCAGAGGGTAGATCAGGAAATCCAGCTCTGTAAAAGCTTGCCCTCCATCCCCTGCAGGGATAGCGCCACACTGTGGTGGTGGAACAAGCAAGATACGCTGCCCTTGCTATCTGGACTGGCTGAAAACTACCTCTGTGTGCAGGCTTCCTCCACCCCATCTGAGAGGGTGTTCTCCATGGCTGGAGACACCATAAGCGCTGAAAGATCCCGTATCCTTCCAGAAAAAGTAGATATGCTCATCTTTCTGCAAAAGAACTGTTAATTTTCCCTACTACTGTTTTATAATTAGTATTTTTTGTTATTTAAAATAGGTTATTATCCCATCATTTGTTATTAGACATTGTTGGTTATTAAGTTTGTTCTTGTATTCATTTTTCATTTAAACACAGATGTTACTCCAGTTTCACATTTCCTGTGGACATCTTGATCTTTTTGAGTTTGTAAGATTGTGCAATAGTTAAGTAAACAAAGTTGATTCTGATAATCAAACTGTTTGTTCTCCTTTTTCTCCCAAATTGGAATCGAAAAAAGAATCGATTAAGAATCGAATCGTTTCATAGAATCGAAAAGGGAATCGGAATCGTGAAAATCTTTTCAATTCCCAACCCTAGTCACGGCTGATTGGTACGGAGGGAGTCACGGCTGATTGGTAGTACGGAGGGAGTCACGGCTGATTGGCGGTAGGGAGGGAGTCACGACTGATTGGTAGAACGGAGGGAGTCACGGCTGATTGGTACGGAGGGAGTCACGGCTGATTGGTACGGAGGGAGTCACGGCTGTTTGGTACGGAGGGAGTCACGGCTGATTTGCGGTAGGGAGGGAGTCACGGCTGATTGGTAGTACGGAGGGAGTCACGGCTGATTGGCGGTAGGGAGGGAGTCACGGCTGATTGGTAGAACGGAGGGAGTCACGGCTGATTGGTACGGAGGGAGTCACGGCTGATTGGTACGGAGGGAGTCACGGCTGATTGGTACGGAGGGAGTCACGGCTGATTTGCGGTACGGAGGGAGTCACGGCTGATTCGCGGTACGGAGGGAGTCACGGCTGATTGGCGGTACGGAGGGAGTCACGGCTGATTGGCGGTACGGAGGGAGTCACGGCTGATTGGCGGTACGGAGGGAGTCACGGCTGATTTGCGGTAGGGAGGGAGTCACGGCTGATTTGCGGTACGGAGGGAGTCACGGCTGATTTGCGGTAGGGAGGGAGTCACGGCTGATTTGCGGTACGGAGGGAGTCACGGCTGATTGGTACGGAGGGAGTCACGGCTGATTGGCGGTACGGAGGGAGTCACGGCTGATTGGTGGTACGGAGGGAGTCACGGCTGATTGGTACGGAGGGAGTCACGGCTGATTTGTACGGAGGGAGTCACGGCTGTTTGGTACGGAGGGAGTCACGGCTGATTGGCGGTAGGGAGGGAGTCACGGCTGATTGGTAGAACGGAGGGAGTCACGGCTGATTGGTACGGAGGGAGTCAGGGCTGATTGGTACGGAGGGAGTCACGGCTGATTGGTACGGAGGGAGTCACGGCTGTTTGGTACGGAGGGAGTCACGGCTGATTGGCGGTAGGGAGGGAGTCACGGCTGATTGGTAGAACGGAGGGAGTCACGGCTGATTGGTACGGAGGGAGTCACGGCTGATTGGTACGGCTGATTGGTACGGAGGGAGTCACGGCTGATTGGTACGGAGGGAGTCACGGCTGATTGGTACGGAGGGAGTCACGGCTGATTTGCGGTACGGAGGGAGTCACGGCTGATTTGCGGTACGGAGGGAGTCACGGCTGATTGGCGGTACGGAGGGAGTCACGGCTGATTTGCGGTAGGGAGGGAGTCACGGCTGATTTGCGGTAGGGAGGGAGTCACGGCTGATTTGCGGTACGGAGGGAGTCACGGCTGATTGGTACGGAGGGAGTCACGGCTGATTGGTACGGAGGGAGTCACGGCTGATTGGCGGTACGGAGGGAGTCACGGCTGATTGGCGGTACGGAGGGAGTCACGGCTGATTGGCGGTACGGAGGGAGTCACGGCTGATTGGTACGGAGGGAGTCACGGCTGATTGGTACGGAGGGAGTCACGGCTGATTGGTACGGAGGGCGTCACGGCTGATTGGCGGTACGGAGGGAGTCACGGCTGATTGGCGGTACGGAGGGAGTCACGGCTGATTGGAAGTACGGAGGGAGTCACGGCTGATTGGAGGTTACGGAGGGAGTCACGGCTGATTGGCGGTACGGAGGGAGTCACGGCTGATTGGTACGGAGGGAGTCACGGCTGATTGGTAGTACGGAGGGAGTCACGGCTGATTGGCGGTACGGAGGGAGTCACGGCTGATTGGTACGGAGGGAGTCACGGCTGATTGGTACGGAGGGAGTCACGGCTGATTGGCGGTAGGGAGGGAGTCACGGCTGATTGGCGGGAGGGAGGGAGTCACGGATAATCGGCGGTATGGAGGGAGTCACGGCTGATTGGGTGGATGGACGCGGCCGGCAGGTTCAGCCTGTATCTGCTGATGTGGAGCAGGAAGCAGGAAGCTTCAGTTTGAATTGTTACTCAGCAGCTTCTAAAAGGAAAGTTTCACCTTCCAACAATCAGAGCATGGCGTGACATCATCACGCTCTGATCAGGAACTTCACTTTAAGAAAAAACAACATCTAAAGTTTCTTTGTTGAACTTTGACCTCCTGCTTTCTGCTGAGGGACCCGCCCATCATTCATGTTTCCAGAAGGTTATGAAAAGAATATAAAACATGATGTGGAGCCTGAACACCCGGCTGGTCGTATCCTGAAACACCTAATCCTACTATTTACATTCCCAACCAAGTCAAATGTTTGCTTTAAGCACCAAGTCAGACCTTTGCTGGACTTCATGTTAACTCTGTTGCTTCTAAAGAGGACCCATCCTTTCAGTTTGTGTTCCTACCAGGCTGACGGTGAGCAGCACAGGCGGCGCGTATCTGTAGGAGACGAAGATGAAGCAAAGTCTTCCTGCTGTGATCGAAGCCCAAAATATGCTGTCCAGACAGCCTGCTGCTTTATGACCCATCAGCAGGGGGGGGGACACGGCGTAGGTGTAGACAAAGCCGGCATAGCAGCCCTGCAGGTAAACAAACAGCAGGTTTAGTTCCAGAAGATCTAACAGCACAGAAAGGAATGAAGCCTGGAAAACCTTAAATTGGAAGTAGAAAAAACAGATCACCCTGAACACATCATCCCCGCTGTCAAACATGGCGGTAGCAGCATCATGCTGTGTGCATCCTTAGCTACATAAAAGACGAATGAGCTAAAACTATTAGGATCAGAGACTGAAGATCAGAGACTGGCCCATTTCCACTACCGGGATCGGTCTGAGCACGGTAACCATGGTAACTGTTGAGTACAACTGGAACGCAGAACTGAAAAGCCGACTCTGTCGAGTAAATTCATCAAAGGCTGCCTTCTGCGCCTGATGCGCTGCAAACTTCCTGTTACGGGCGCCGCCATGTTGGTTTGCTTGTTTCCCTCTACAGAGCAGTAGTACCGTAGATCGCCACTAGGAGGCGAGGAACTGTCGTAAGGAACCGAACTCGGCACGGATCGGTTTTCAGACGGGAGTGGAAATGGAACGTTAGAGCCGGAGCTGCATCCATTAGTGCGGAGGTCAAAGGTCAGACCTAAATCTGAGGTAAAATTCAAACCTTCAATCGTTCTCCCTCAAAACCTACGAAACTCGTAACTTAGCAAAGAACTAGACTTTCAGACGAATTTGTAGTTTAAATTTTATATTTTAGCTTGTTATCAAAGCTCAGCCTCAGTCTGCCTCGGTTACTATGGCAACCCGAGGCAGTGACGCCGAGCCTGGTTCAGAGCTGACTAGGCACCAGGGGGCGCCGTCAGTGACGGAAATCATCTGACCCACAGCATGACGCCATCGAAAACAGGTTCTATGCTAAAGATCAGCGAATGAAACATCTAAACTTCATTAATCATCAGTTACGATAATAATAATCTCACTATAATTCCATCGGTGATGAAGACGATGGCTCCGCCCAGGGCGTGAATGATGAAGAAAGTAGCAGGATGACCTCGGAGGAAGTCCAACGCCCCCCCGCATCCTGCAGAGAAATGACAGGTTTGTGTGTCGCAATTCAGTTCAATTCTATGCAGTTTATTTCTATAGCTCCAATTCACAACATCTCAGGTTTATAGATCCAGATCAACCAGATCATCCAGTCAGATTGATTCTCTATCTAAGGAAAACCAGCTGATTGCATCGACTCATTGACTCTTCAGCAATCCCTCACACTAAGCATGCTTGTAGCGACAGTGGAGAGGAAAAACTCCCTTTGAACAGGAAGAAACCTCCAGCAGAACCAGGCTCAGTGTGAGCGGCCATCTGCTGAGGCCCACTGGGGTTCAAGGAGACAGAAGCAGACATAGAAAAAGAAGCATAGATACAAAAGGCAACTGTCAACCAGCTCCACAGGCGGCCCCGTCCAGGAAACACACAGCCAGGCAGACGAGCTCCGAGCCAGCTCCCATGTCAGAGGATGAAGAGAGCACATCCAGTTAGTCACAGTCAGAGAAACAGGACTACACTGGAAAACAGGCCAAGCTCCAACATCTAGAAACAAAGGTGTTGATGGCAGCAGCACAGCTGATATTTCTCTCCAGGATGGAGTCAGAGCCAAACAGGAACAGACCAGATGAAGCTACTATGAGAAAAAGCAGAGAGAGCAGAACGTTAGAGATTGAACTAACAGATTCTGCAGAGTGGGAGAATAGAGATAGAATGAAGCAGAATGATGAAAAAGGGGTCCCTATGTCCTCCAGCAGTATATATATATAGCAGCAGAGCTACAGATAGCACTGGAATGGGGGGATGAGCTTGAAAGAGACGTCACCTGGACAGGCGTCCCTGACTGCAGGGCTTGAACTGGTGTGGGACTCCTTGTCCAGCAGTGGGGGGCTCCCCCTGGAGCAGGACACCAGCCTCTCATGGAACATCAATGCGAGGACAGCGGCTGGCACTGGGAGCTGCCCACACATACAGAGACACCACTGTTTACTCTGAAAACTAAGCACACTTCCTGTCACCTGATGGGCTCCCTCACATCCTGCAGATCCTGTTCAAACGGACAGGAGAGCAACTAACTGCTTTAACTGACGTCTGAAACACAGACCAGCTGTGAAAAGTTCTGCAATGGATGATGGGAATTCATTGGGTCGTCTTTTTGTGCAGAAACATCTCAGCTCTCTGAATAATCCAGAGTATCCCATGTTCCTCACAGCGGCGCAGCTTCAATTATTGCTTAATGCAATAATCCACTTTGGCTTTAAGAGCCTCAGTAAACTCTGCAGAGCCTGAACTAGATTTACACACAAGTGATGAAAAACAACTGAATTCTACTTTGATTCTAATCTGCTTTAGTGGAAAAGCTACATTTTCTATTGGTTTTTTATGATTTCCTGCTGATTTTTGACCTGGAAGACATAAATGGCCGACAGTGAAAATGAAGCCGTCTGATATGGAAAAAGGTGGCGATCCAGGCTGAGATCAAGACTGAACAGAAAAACTAAGAACTGACCCTTCATCTCTGATCCTACATCTTTCAGACGTTTAGATGAAGCTTTGCATCAATCCTCTGGAACAGGAGAGTTAAACAACATGCAGGGCGCTGCGCCAAGAGGAGCAGGGATGGGAGGATAAATCGCCGTCAGTCCTGTTGTTCTCCTGGGGACGTAAAACACACCTTCTACCACCAGGATGTCCAGGTGAGGGACAGGGAGGCGAGTCTGCTGAGGCTGAGGAGCAGCAGCTCTGATCTGATTCCTTTGGCAGGAAAAGGAACTCTGCTCATTTCTCCACAGGTGGATCCATTTAGCTTAGAAACTGAAGCAGACGAGCTCTACGCTGGTTTTCACGTGAAAAAAAAGGCAGAAAACGGTTGAAATAAAAAGCGAGCCTATAGGAGAGAAACAGGACTCAACACTGAAGAACTGAAAATATTAAAAAACAAAAATAAAAGAACTACAGAAATGACTTTAGCATCTTCAGGCGCTTTGGTTGACTCAGCCAGCGTTGCCAACTCAGCGACTCTGTCGCTATAATTAGCAACTTTTCAGACCCCTCAAGCAACTAGCGACAAATCTGGCAACTTTTCTGGTGTCCGCCGTGGGGCGCCTCCCCCGTCCCGTCCTCTCAGCGCTGCAGCCAGAGCCGCAGCGTCCAGACTGCAGATGAGCGGCGTGCGTTTGCACCGGGATTGACGGCGCCGGTTGATCACGCTGGAGTCGGATCCCTCAGTTGCTGAACCTGCCATAGAGAACATTGACCAACATGACGAGGAAAATGCACCTTCTGCTGACAGGAACTCACATTAATAGCAGCCATGATCCAGAAAGCGTACGACACCCTGGTGACCACGACCCCCTCCGTGTAGAGAGGGTACCAGGAGGCGTTGTGCAGCGCCGCTCCGTGCCCAGCCAGGGTGTTACGGAGGTGTTCCAGGTCCGAGGACGACGAGTTGGCCGTGCGATTGGCTGAGAGGACGCAGCTGTCTTCTGCCAGGAAGGGGTCGACCACCAGGGGGCTGACCAGGGCGCCGCAGCCGATGAAGAAATGCAACGCCTAGAGAGAGACATCAAGATGGCTGCTTCAGAGACTGACAGGAAGTAGAAATCTATCATCTTTTTTAACCACGTTCTCTGCAAACGCTGTAGAGAAACACAAAGTGTGGCTCTCTTTTTATGTAACCCCTTTAACTCTGATACCCCTGAATAAATTCATAGAAAGGCCCCTCCCCCACCTACATTAGTTTTCTATCTAAGGAAAACCAGCTGATTGCATCGACTCATTGACTCTTCAGCAATCCCTCACGCTAAGCATGCTTGTAGCGACAGTGGAGAGGAAAAACTCCCTTTGAACAGGAAGAAACCTCCAGCAGAAACAGGCTCAGTGTGAGCGGCCATCTGCTGAGGCCCACTGGGGTTCAAGGAGACAGAAGCAGACATAGAAAAAGAAGCATAGATACAAAAGGCTCCCATGTCAGAATTTTATTGTCAGAATTCTGACTGAATTCTGAGAAAAAGTCAGAATTCTGACTTTTTTCTCATGTTAAACTGAAATAAAATTTGAAAATCAGTTAACTTTTTGTTTTTTTTCAGTGGCCCTAATCGTCTTCCGTAGATTCTGACCGACTGACCTGCAGGAAGATGGCTGAGTCCTTCTGGTAGAGCTTCACCAGCTGCAGGTTCCCAATGGTGTCTATGACGCCCATGGCCGCTCCGGCCACGCCCATAGCGACGGCCAGCAGAACCACATGGTGACAGAGTGGAATGATGGCGAAGACGACGGAGATGATGAGGGTGGAGGTGAGGAGGGCTGATAGAGACGACAACAGGCTGGATAAAGAAGAGACAAAGCGAGGAAACGTTAGACCAACATTTCTAGATAAACTTTCTGTTGAGGTTTATGCTCTGATTTATGTTTCTATTTCACAGATTTGTAAATAGAAGTGATGTATGAACTGGTTTTGTCACGCTTCCCAATCTCCTGGTCAGCATCAGTCAGCCGGAAAACATATTCTTTACCGTCCTCTTCTTCAGCAGCTGTCCACGCCACATCCTGTCTTTGCCTTCTCCTGCATTCATCCTCTCGGTGTGTGGAGTTTTCACAAATATTGCACCATTTTCTGCGGTGGCACATTTTAGCTATGTGTCCCCGTTGTCCACATCTGAAGCACACCTGGTCGACGCCGTCTGCTCTCCTCTCGCTCATCCGCACCTGTGCATGCTTTAGGCTTGATTGGACCCGTGCTTTCATGACGTTGTCCGCCGCAGCAGCCGTGCGTATTCTCTCTGTGTCTTCATAACTCCTTAATTTGCATTTAAAGTCAGAAAAAGTCATTTTATCTTCACTTTGTGTGACATAAATGATGAATGGTTTGAATGACTCTGGCAGTCCTTTCAGAATCATAGCGATAAGCAGGCCATCACTCATAGTTTCACCTGCATTTCTTAATGCTGTTATAGCGGCCTCAGCTCTAAGAACATAAGTTGTCACATCTTCGCTGCCGACTTTTTGCAGTGAGGTAAGTTCTGTATATAGACTGATAATGCGAGGTTTACCCTTGCCCGCATAAAAGTCTCTCAAAATCCTCAGAGCCTTCCGTCCATCATCAGCAGCTTCACGCATTATCAGCGATAAACTTGTATCATCTAGGAATTGGATAAGCTCCGCATACGCCTCTGCGTTTTTCGTGTCTTCATCTTCTTCTTCTCCGTCTTCCTCTTCTTTCTTTAGAATTACGTCCTTTAATCCTTGTAACCGAAGGTGGCCAAGAAACTTTGCCTCCCACAGCTCGTACTTCTCCGCATCTCCGTCAAAAACCAACCGTGACCACCGGTTACTCCCTTCTGCAGTTCTTCTATTCATGGTGCTGTGTGTTACGTCTTTCCTTGCCGGTGGTTCACCTGCGCTTCTGGTACTCTTCACTTGGGTCTCCGTGTGTAGCTGGGCCCATAACCTGTTAGCAGAAGTGGCTATACAGCAGCTAGACCCGGTATCACAAAGGATATATTTCGGCAAACAAGCAGTGGGGGGGAAGTGGGTTTATGCAGTGAAAAAGAATGTAGATGGAACTGACAAGTTCAAAGCTAGATACGTGGCAAAAGGGTTTAGTCAGAAGAGGGGTATTGATTATGAAGAGACTTTCTCCCCTACTGCAAGCCTGACCAGTATTAGAGTTTTGATGCAGAAAGCAGCACAAGAAAACCTTATCTTGCACCAAATGGACGTTAAAACCGCTTATCTCCATGCATTGATAGATCGTGAGATATACATGGAACAACCAGAAGGTTATGAAGAAGAACCAAATGGAAATGAACGGGTTGTGTGCAAATTAAACAAATCATTATATGGTCTTAAACAGGCAGGGAGAAACTGGAACAACACCCTGCATGATTATCTTTGTGAAAACAAGTTTGTGCAAAATCCAGCAGATTATTGTGTTTACACCAGGCAGACGGAAAAAGATAAAGTCATACTTATAGTATGGGTGGACGATCTGATCATCGCTGCTACTGATGAGAAAGTACTGAAAAGTGTTAAAGAGGTTCTCATGGCAAGATTTAAAATGAAGGATTTGGGAAAGCTGAAATATTTTCTTGGGATTGATTTTGAACAGGGGGAAAACTGTGTAAAAATGTCTCAGAGAAATTATGTAAAGAGAATACTGCAGAGGTTTGACATGCAGGACTGCAAACCTAGAGCAACTCCTTGTGAACAGAAACAGGACTACAATGATGATGGGAAAAGGATAGACAATGCAGCAAAATACAGAGAAGCTGTAGGCAGCCTCATTTATTTGACTTCTTGTACAAGACCTGACTTAAGCTTTATAGTGAGTAAGCTGTCACAGTATTTTGCAGAACCAACAGAACAACAATGGACTACTGTGAAACATGTGTTAAGATACCTTAAAGGCTCTTCTGAAAAGGAACTGTGTTACAAAAAATGTGAGGATGGAAATTTAGGCTTGCATGCCTACAGTGATGCTGACTGGGCCGCTGATGTAAACGATCGCCGTAGCACAACTGGTTATTGTATAAGTTTGTCTAAATGGGGGCCTTTGGTTTCTTGGAAAACGAAAAAGCAGCCCACGGTCGCATTGTCTACCTGTGAAGCTGAGTACATGGCTTTAGCCGCAACCATTCAGGAATGTCTATATTTGATACAGCTACTTAAGAACATTGACTGTTATGAATATGTACCAGCTAAAATTTATGAAGACAACCAAGGGACCATAGCAATAGCCAAAAACCCTGTAAAGAGACAGCGCTGTAAACATGTTGACATAAAATACCACTTTGTGAGATCAACTGTAAGGGACGGCAAGGTCAGTCTGTATTACTGTCCAACAGAACTGATGGTAGCAGATGTATTAACCAAACCAGTAACGACATTCAAGTTAGTCAAGTTTGACAGTTTTATCTTTGGAATGTAATTTAAAATATTATTGATTGTAAATAGGATTAACGTCAGAGCAAGTGGGGGTGTTGAGGTTTATGCTCTGATTTATGTTTCTATTTCACAGATTTGTAAATTTAAGTGATGTATGAACTGGTTTTGTCACGTGGTATGGTTAATAAAAAGCCGAGTTCAGGTGGGTCGGGTGTGCCCCGCCCCTCCTCTCTCAGAGCACAAACGCAACCAGAGTGTGGAGTCCTTCTTTGCTGCCGAAATATATCCTTTGTGATACCGGGTCTACAGGTGCTGGTCATAAAATTAGAATATCATGAAAAAGTAGATTGATTTCAGTAATTCCATTTAAAAAGTGAAACTTGTATATTATATTCATACATTACATACAAACTCATATATTTCAGATGTTTATTTTGTTTAATTTTGATGATTACAATTGACAACAAATGAAAATCTCAAATTCATCATATCAGAAAATTAGAATATTGTGAAAAGGTTCAAAATTGATGGCCCCTGGTGCCACACTCTAATCAGCTAATTAACTCAAACCACCTGCAAAAGCCTTTAAATGGTCTTTCAGTCTAGTTCTATAGGCTACACAATCATGGGGAAGACTGCTGACTTGACAGTTGTCCAAAAGACGACCATCGACACCTTGCACAAGGAGGGCAAGACACAAAAGGTCATCGCTAAAGAGGCTGGCTGTTCACAGAGCTCAGTGTCCAAGCACATTAATAGAGAGGCGAAGGGAAGGAAAAGATGTGGTCGAAAAAAGTGTACAAGCAAGAGAGATAACCGCACCCTGGAGAGGATTGTGAAACAAAACCCCTTCAAAAATGTGGGGGAGATTCACAAAGAGTGGACTGCAGCTGGAGTGAGTGCTTCAAGAACCACCACACACAGACGTATGAAAGACATGGGTTTCTGCTGTCGCATTCCTTGTGTCAAGCCACTCTTGAACCACAGACAGCGTCAGAAGCGTCTTGCCTGGGCTAAAGAGAAACAGGACTGGACTGCTGGTGAGTGGTCCAAAGTCATGTTCTCTGATGAAAGTAAATTTTGCATTTCCTTTGGAAATCAAGGTCCCAGAGTCTGGAGGAAAAGAAGAGAGGCACTTCATCCACGTTGCTTGAAGTCCAGTGTAAAGTTTCCACAGTCAGTGATGGTTTAGGGTGCCATGTCATCTGCTGGTGTTGGTCCATTGTGTTTTCTGAGGTCCAGGGTCAACGCAGCCACATACCAGGAAGTTTTAGAGCACTTCATGCTTCCTGCAGCTGACCAACTTTTTGGAGATGCAGATTTCATTTTCCAACAGGACTTGGCACCTGCACACAGTGCCAAAGCTACCAGTACCTGGTTGAAGGACCATGGTATCCCTGTTCTTAATTGGCCAGCAAACTCTCCTGACCTTAACCCCATAGAAAATCTATGGGGTATTGTGAAGAAGAAGATGCAATACACCAGACCCAACAATTCAGAAGAGCTAAAAGCCACTATTAGAGCAACCTGGGCTATCATAACACCTGAGCAGTGCCACAGACTGATCGACTCCATGCCACGCCGCATTGCTGCAGTAATACAGGCCAAAGGAGGCCCAACTAAATACTGAGTGCTGTACATGCTCATACTTTTCATGTTCATACTTTTCAGTTGGCCAACATTTCTATAAATCCTTTGTTTTTATTGGTCTTCAGTAATATTCTAATTTTCTGATATGATGAATTTGAGATTTTCATTTGTTGTCATTTGTAATCATCAAAATTAAACAAAATAAACATCTGAAATATATGAGTTTGTATGTAATGTATGAATATAATATACAAGTTTCACTTTTTAAATGGAATTACTGAAATCAATCTACTTTTTCATGATATTCTAATTTTATGACCAGCACCTGTAGCTGCTGTATAGCCACTTCTGCTAACACTTTCCATTGGGTTCCTGTAGTGGTGGATCTCTGCCCACTGGTCACCACTAACCCGTTCACGTTTCTAACTGGTTTTCCTGGTAGACGACCCCAGCTTGGAGGAAAAAAGGGAGAAGACCGCCCCAATTTGGTTTGAAATTGTTTGCATATTTTAATGTTACTTTGACCTTAACACACTGTCTTCTTTTCAGATTTCATTTTACAGATCTCAGTTCTTCTGGATTAATTAGTTGAGTTAAAAGTGAGGTGAAGAGAACGCCGTCCGTTCAGCACTATTTCCAAGGAATGCAAAACTCAAACTGAAAAGAACCTTTTAAAAAATAATAATTATAAATAAAACAAAATATAAAGCTAGAAAAATAAAATATATATATATAAAAAGACAAGAATAAAATAATTTGGCAAACAATAAAATATGAGAAAACAAACCTTTTTTGATTAAAACATTTTTCAAAGTTTCATTTTCAGTTCTCTCCATGCCTCTAATTGTTTACATGCATCTTTATTAACGACCTTTAATTAATAAGGTAGAAAAGTTCAAAAGCTTGATCACTAGAGTTATGTTTAAAAATGGAAACGGTTGCATCAGGTGACAGAGAAGGAAACTCCTCCCAGGCCGTCGCCTCAAATCCCTGGTTTTCCCTTCAGGTCGGTCTC